GCTACGAGATTCTACAATGAAATGGGAGTGCACCTAAAAAAAAATTGCGAGGGTTTCCCCATGTTTTTTACATTTGAAAATTTTAAAAAGAGCCTTTTTGGGCGACATGAAGCAGTGGTGGAGTCGTCATTAGCATCGTCGTCGTCCCTATTGCCGTCGTCATCGTCGTAGCCGATCTAGTGTCAAAAGAAAGAGGAACGATGCAAAAGGCAAAAAGTTAGTAATGGTAAGCAAAAGATGAACATGACGTGAGAAGAGGAGAGTTACCGTTCGTTCTTTCGTTTGCTTGTTCGTTCGTTCGTTTGACGTCGTGGAGTAAAGAGAATGACAATGGAGGCGAAAAAGTAATGACGAGGGGAAGAAGGAGCAAAATAATAGAACGGGCAAAAAAAAGAATCTTATAGCCAATCGGGGTTTGAAATCTAGAGTGCACACATTGTTGAAGGATTGTGTGGGCAGGATCGTGTTCCTGAGCTTCAATTTGCAGCATATCCCTAACATATCAGAGCGAGCATGCTACTACATTCTCATGCTATGATGTGGACTTACCTTTTGAATGACAAATAGGTTGGATCAGAGAAGACTGAATGTTGCCAAATGGATAGCAGGGGTGGAGTTCCATCATGAGCACCGAGTCTTGTATAAAAGTCTTCCTAAACATCATGATCACCTGTACAAATGCATTTTCAGCGTCGATAGGTTGAATAGGATCGCCAGGACTGAGTTCTTTCGCAGCCAGTCGGTCATGTCTTTCGCCGATCCCCGGGAACAACTTCTTGCGGAGGCTGGTAGGTGGTTTAAGGGCGGCATGTGCAAGATAAAGGAATCGACCATATGTGGGAAAGCCTGCCATTGATCGCACCAATTTTCTTGGGAGGTCGGCGAGATATGCGCCGTTTATCGTTGTGTTGTTCCATCGGCCTTGGCGTCGTATTTGATCCACGTTCGCACACACATTACCCGCCATACGAGCTGATGAGCCGCAATTGATATGTGTCTTTTTGTTGGACCTGATACCAGGAGAAGAGAGTGCCTTGCCGATCGATTTCCGATGAGAAGAGTGCGACCATTCCTGTGCCTGGCGGGGCGGTTTTATCTTCATTTCGAATTGAGCCCCAGCTATGCCCGGGACTCAAGTCAGGAACTCAGAGAGTCCCCCACCATATCAGTCCTTATTGTCCGCAAAATTCAGCATACACAGATTGGTTCTATCCCGGTGGTTCTGTCTGTAGCATTCCCCCCTTTTCCAAAGGGATGATGGTCTGTCCTTTTTCCAAATGGCCGGCTTTGAAATGTTTTTGAAAATTGGAACTTTTTTGCAGATTTAAACTTTTGACCCCCCCCTTTTTTTTTGGGTAAAGAGTTGCTTTTTTTTCAATCCCAGATAGGCAACCCACCGTCAAATTTCACAGACATCATGATACAGTGCATATTTATCGACTGATGATGCCCAAAAAGAAGCACTTT